ATGTGTAATAAACTGGGACAAGCCTGAGAAACACTGAGGACAAACATTCGCAGTAACCTTATTACCTCAGAAAAAAATGCACACTACTAACTTAAAAAAAAAGATGGGGTGTTTTGAAACCCCCAACATCTCTTACCACTTCCCTTGATGCAACATATGTTAACTTTCACTTCCTTGAAAATGGAACAGTTTTGCTTGCCTCCTGGAAAGACCCTCTGACTTGTTCTGCATTTTACAGCCTCTATTTGAGCAAAAAAGAAGACCGTAAAACTGGGAATAAAATATCCACCATTACCATTTACACATGCACGACAAAAAACAAGTGTCTCAAACCTTTTTTTAATCAAACTCAAAGCAAAAGTTCCATTTTTAACGGCATTGGAAAGGCTACGAATGATTAAAAACTAACCAGTTGTAGAGTTTTTTTTTTAATAGTTTAAGGGGAAAATGATTATTTCTGACTCAATTGAACAGCTAATGGTTAGTTTGAGAGCGGACAAGACCTGCTTTTTCCAAACTGGTGCCTGTATGAGAGGGTTGGACCATGAACAGGTTGCAAGTCCATCACAGGCACATGCAGAAACAAAGAACCAACAGTTATATGTAGTGTCACGGCTTGGTACAGACGGTGTGGACGGGTACTGTCAACTGATGATGATAATGTCCGTCACAGACAGTGACAGCTGATAACTGCTCCTTGCTAACAGCAACAGAAGAAAAGAAGCAGAGAAAGATAATATCTAAACTCCTCTACACCAAACAAAACATGGCTGCTGCCACTGATGGCTGACAGCTGCAGCAGTTGAGAGGTGACTATATGGCAAGCAGTTCTATCATATAAGCAGCACTTTGAAAACTATTGTGACGAGTTTGTACTTTTAATCAATATTCTTAATATCTAGCCATTTTCTTACACCTAGGACTCAGCTGGCTGAGGAGTTTGAATGTTTCACTTTTTTTTGTTTGTCACAAGTTATTTAGTTCTGTGCTGCTTTTAATTTTGCATGAAGTTTACTGCAAATTAATTTAGCACACTCCTTGTTTTATTTTTATTTTATTATTTTAGTAATGTTTTAGAAAAAGATACCTTTTTGAAGTTGATCAAATTTCCTGTATGACACATGGCCTGTGAGTTACTCTTTACAGTGCAGATTGGATTAAAAATTACACTGAAGTATCATTTTATTTAGTTTTAGAGGGAATTATCAGTCGACAAATTAATTTCTGTGAATGAGCAACTACCTAAGACCCTCCCTGCTAACAATCATGTTTTTTTATTTATGTATTTATTTATTTTTGTTCATGCTTTTGGGAGCATAATTGTCTGGAAAAACAACTGAAACAAAAAATAAAATAAAATAAAAAATGTGTCATTCACCATGAGGTTTTTTTTTTTTTTTTCTGGTTTAGTTCACTGAACCGTGACCTCATATCCTTATAGATACCTAACTATGACTTATGCATATCGTTACACACTGCCTGAACACTATTGCATCAACAAACATTTACAGAACTGTCATTTTTGTGTCATGCAGTTATTTATAAATATAATTCTCTGATTATTTTCATGCACTCTGCTCTGCAGCTATGTTATCTGTTACCTGTTTAACATTTCCAGTGCAGCATGCGATGCTTCTGGTAAGATCATGGAGGAAATACAGTGTATTTGTCCAAGTAAAACAATGAAATGTAAAACTGACAACAACGTAAAGGTTTATTAAACAGTGTTTGCAGAAACCCATATGACATTTTTGAAGTAGGAGACAGGAGTTGAGTCTTGGCCCCATTCTTACTAACCACTAGCTCATTAAACTGGTCATCAATGCCACACTTAAAAAGACCTGAACTATAACTTTAGGTTAAAAAAGAAACTGTTAACCTTCCAGTACCTGCCTTCCATCTTCACTAGTATATATCAGTATGTTGTCAAGGCTGATGAGTGCAAACATTTTTCAGAAAGTAAAACGTTATTTAAGGTAAACTTTGTTACATGAAAGTGCTACAAAAATCCGAAGATTAACTGCAAACACTGGGGTTGTTTTTAGGTTTCCTGTTTTTGCACACTCTAAAAGTAAAAACTGAATGCTTGTGATTGTTTATTTGAAATAATAAACATGTCAGAATAAAGCAAATTTGATCAACACCTTGTCTACTTTGCAACAAAGTCACTTTTTGCTTTAATTGTTGCAGACATTTTTGGTGCCGTGAGCCAAATTTACCATGAGCTCACATCTGTCTGAAACCCTGTGAAGTTCAGGCTTCACCACGACCGCTTCAGTTCTTATTCACAACCACAGAGATGAATATGTGAAAACAAGCCCACGAATGTCTGACACATGAAACTTTCTATGAGCAGTAACAGATCCGTGAAAATGATTCAGAATTACCGGATAAAGTGCATAATTTTGGCTTGTGACGCTACACTGGTTATTAAAATGAAGACACGTGTGGGTTAGTTTGAGATTGTGTCGAATCAGATATCTTAAAACATTTAAACAATTTCCGAGAACTCTTCACGGAGCTCAAGCTGTCTCCTGTGCATTTTCTGGTTCATTTTTGAAAACGAAACATCAGCCGCCTCTAGCACTGCAGGACCAGAACGTGTGTTTGCAACTTGTGGTCTTGAAATTTCCTTAAGTCTTACACAGACATCAAAAGCATTAAGTCATCGCTGTTAGTTTTCCTCAGGTTTTCTTAGACGTAATACGCAGTGAGCACCCAAGTTGAGTCAACCGTTCAGGCTTCATGAAGCCTGAAGGGCTGAGTCGAGGGGTGAACAAACAATTAGATCATCAGGCTGTTAATTACAACTTTCACTAATGAGACAAAAGAACGTTGTTGTTTTTTTCATTCATCATATCATTCTAAGAAGACATTAGTGTGCAATGCTCGTGTTGACCCAGCCAGAAAACCTCTGTTGCTGGGAAGAGGCAAAGTAAGACCAGTAATGCGAGGTTATCGGGTTAGGCACACTCCTTGAAAATGTGAAGAAAAAAAAAGGTATGCTAAAGAGAAACCAGCTCAAAACAAACACAAGTGATTATATCTGCGAGTGGTGACGGCTGGGCTCTCAGACACACCTACAAGTAAAACCAAAGGAGCGCAACGCAACCGTTGAGACTCAATAGGGTACATACCACTGCAATGAAAGCAAAGACAGTTGCCATGCCTGCTGGGCTTTTTGTGTACATAGAAGTACAAAATGAGGGGAGAGAATATATTTTAAAATTGCTGACACCTTGCTCTGATACCAAATGGTAATTTCAAAAAACCTCATGTACAGTGCCTTGCGAAAGTATTCGGCCCCCTTGAACTTTTCAACCTTTTGCCACATTTCAGTCTTCAAACATAAAGATATAAAATTTTAATTTTTTGTGAAGAATCAACAAGTGGGACACAATCGTGAAGTGGAATGAAATTTATTGGATGTGTCAAACTTTTTTAACAAATAAGAAACTGAAAAGTAGGGCCTGCAATGTTATTGGGCCCCTTTCCTTTCAGTGCAGCAAACTCACTCCAGAAGTTCAGTGAGGATCTATGAATGATCCAATGTTGTCCCAAATGACTGATGATGATAAATAGAATCCACCTGTGTGTAATCAAGTCTCTGTATAAATGCACCTGCTCTGTGATAGTCTCAGGGTTCTGTTCAAAGTGCAGAGAGCATCATGAAGACCAAGGAACACACCAGGCAGATCCGAGATACTGTTGTGGAGAAGTTTAAAGCCGGATTTGGATACAAAAAGATTTCCCAAGCTTTAAACATCCCAAGGAGTGCTGTGCAAGCAATCATATTGAAATGGAAGGAGTATCAGACCACTGCAAATCTACCAAGACCCGGCCGTCCCTCTAAACTTTCATCTTGAACAAGGAGAAGACTGATCAGAGATGCAGCCAAGAGGCCCATGATCACTCTGGATGAACTGCAGAGATCTACAGCTGAGGTGGGAGAGTCTGTCCATAGGACAACAATCAGTCGTACACTGCACAAATCTGGCCTTTATGGAAAAGTGGCAAGAAGAAAGCCATTTCTCAAAGATATCCATAAAAAGTGTTGTTTAAAGTTTCCCACAAGCACCTGGGAGACACACCAAACATGTGGAAGAAGGTGCTCTGGTCAGATGAAACCAAAATCGAACTGTTTGGCCACAATGCAAAACGATATGTTTGGCATAAAAGCAACACAGCTCATCACCCTGAACACACCATCCCCACTGTCAAACATGGTGGTGGCAGCATCATGGTTTGGGCCTGCTTTTCATCAGCAGGGACAGGGAAGATGGTCAGAATTGATGGGAAGATGGATGGGGCCAAACACAGGACCATTCTGGAAGAAAACCTGTTTGAGTCTGCAAGAGACCTGAGACTGGGAAGGAGATTTATCTTCCAACGAGACAATGATCCAAAACACAAAGCCAAATCTACAGTGGAATGGTTCACAAATAAACGTATCCAGGTGTTGGAATGGCCAAGTCAAAGTCCAGACCTGAATCCAATCGAGAACCTGTGGAAAGAGTTGAAGACTGCTGTTCACAAACGCTCTCCATCCAACCTCACTGAGCTTGAGATGTTTTGCAGGAAGAATGGGCAAGAATTTCAGTGTCTCCATGTGCAAAACTGATAGAGACATAGCCCAAGAGACTTGCAGCTGGAACTGCAGCAAAAGGCGGCGCTACAAAGTATTAATGCAAGGGGGCCAAATAATATTGCACGCCCCACGTTTCAGTTTTTTATTTGTTAAAATAGTTTGACACATCCAATAAATTTCATTCCATTTCACAATTGTGTCCCACTTGTTGTTGATTCTTCACAAAAAATTCAAATTTTATATCTTTATGTTTGAAGCCTGAAATGTGGCAAAAGGTTGAAAAGTTCAAAGGGGCCGAATATTTTCACTGTACGTAAAAGATAAGAACTGAATACTTGTTAAAGCACTGTGTCCAAAATTTAACCCCAGGATGGTGGTGTATCATAATTCAGAGCTGAAAAGTGAGAAGCACTTAAGGAAAATATGAACTCACGATCAAGGGCAGGGAGCACACCACAAAGATGACAGTCATTAGCGCCAGCCACACCAAGTAGTCCATTTCCTCTTCCCCCTGTCCGAACCAGGCCAGGCTCAGCTTCTTCTTCCTTCCCATCGACACCACCGAGCCACGTCGGACCATCTGGCTCCGGTGCATCTGGCACAGGCTGACGATCACTGACCCATTGCAGACAAAGACAATGAAAATCAGCAATGCCATGAGAGAGGAGTAGGACAGAGAGAAGGCCAGCACTAAGCTGGCGTGGTCATCCCCCGTTGCGTCCATGTCAATAAAGCACCAAGTCCCGGGGTTGTATTGTCTGAACTTTCCATAGCCGCTGTACGGCAAAAGACAGAAGGCCAAGGAGAAGAGGTAAATAAAGACAAGAGTGAATTTGGCAAAGCTGCGGCGGATGTGCACGGAGTAAAAATAAGGGTGGCTGATGGCCAAACAGCGTTCCAGGGCAATAGCGCACAGGATGAGCGTGGGCGCCAGGCCGAAGAAGCTCACTGCGAAGCCGAAAAGGTTGCACAGTCTACTACCACCGAGAGTTTTTAGAGTCATGTTGTGGGCGTAGCAAACGAACACAGGTGGGCTGAGAAGGCAGGTGCCCAGCAGGTCAGTGAGGGCCAGGCCGGTCACCAGGATGCAGAAGACAGACGACCTGGAGTGGTGCCTCTTCTGGTGCACTCCGAGGATGAAGAGGGCGAGCAGGTTTCCCCCGACTCCGGCCAAAAACATGAAGATGCTTGTCGTTGGTTTGCCATCGGAGAGCGTGTTGTTGCATGATGAGTTTGAAATGTTGCTCATGTTTTCCTCACTGGAGGATTCTTCTGATCTATGAGCACTTAAGAAGAAATTTCCAAATTTTCGGACAACAGGAGAATACACTGCCCACTAGAGACACTCACTTGGTAACACAAACAGCAAGGATGGATGGTGAAATCCATGATGCTGATTCTCCTTAAAAACATTACTCATGGCCGCCTCCTTCTCTCATTCCTTGCAGTCAGTTTAAATTTTTTTCTGTGGAAAAAAACAAAAAAAGTTCAATACCTTCACCGGAAAACGAAAAATCTTCAAAATTATATTAAGATTTATTTTCTCAATACAAATGTATCAATCTGTTTCGTTCTCTTCAACATTACCAGAATGAAAACCTTGATCACACCATAATTTCAAAATTACTTACGTTTTACCGGAGCTAAATCAACGCAGCAGAACAAGTGAAGGAATATTCCGGTTTTAAAGTACCTCTGCCGGTCTACAGGCAGACTGCTCTGGACACGGAGAGGTGGCTCTTCTGGTAAAGCTTTCCCTCCTCCTGTGCAGTTTTGTGCGCCTCCCTCTCTCATCGATTCACAGTCCCACCCACACTAGTAACTGAGAGCTGATGCAAAAAAAGAAAAAACACCTAAATGCTGTGGTGAAAGTCATTTCCAACCACAACGAAGAAATAATAGATCTTGTTTCTTTTCGTGCAACACATTCTGCATGTGTTTTTGTATGGGGGATTAATTCTTTATGAAGGCAAATCTGAAAAACTTGTGGTGAAAAAAGTGTGGTGCTTAAAAAAAACTATCAATCTTTTTTTTTTTTTTTGCAGACACTTTGCACAACATTGGCTTTTACCCATGCGAGCTCAAAGGAAAACAAAAGTGCTATGTAATCAGTCTTTAGTGAAGCGTTTAGTTTGGCCGTGTTGCTTCTAAAAAGTTGTAATTGGCTTTAATCACAGCCAGTTGACATTTCAGGCAGCTTTTCCTGTCATCACATGTTCATGGAGAGGACAGTGCACATGACTTTAGCCACAGAAGCAGCTCCTGCTCCTTTCTGGTCAATTTCTCGTTTCTGGTAGTTTTTTTTTTTTGTGTGTGTGTTAATTGGTGGTAATGTTTTGTGGATTTTAGGTGTGGTGATAAATCTTTCACCAGTGTTTATGCCGTGAAAGACTTTGTTTTTCCAGGGTGTTTATTATGTTTAATTCAGAGTTTGGCTCTGTGTGTGAACTCTGCAGGCATGCTGCTTTCAATGCTTGGACAAATTACAATTACCAGACATATCAATTAAGAGAAATCCTTATTATAACACAGTTAAAAATAAAGTGAATGACGCTGAATATCATTGCAGTGAAACTTGTCAGGGGTTAAGGTATTCTCCCTTGCTGCCACTTGTCGTTTACTTTTAATTATTACAAGGAGCTCTCAGATGAGGATGCCACACATTCTGTGTTTACAATGTCAGGGCCCATAAAGCAAACCAATGTGGCACGTTTAAACAAACAGCAAACCCTAAGGCTATAAACAAATATTTCCGTGCGTGCACATTATCCCCCAAAGCAGTCCATTAGTTTGTGAGCGCACCAAATGAGGCAAAGGGATCATGCTGCTGTTAAATGTGCACGTTCTCGTTGTGATAAACGAGAAGTTTGCAGAGCCGCAACAAACAGTCAACTGACCGTGCATTTAGAGGACAGTCGTGTTTGTCTTGTGACCAAAACGTTAAAGTGCATTAAATGCTGAGTGGGTGGAAATTTGTGGATGAACATGCACATGCAGTACTGTGCAAAAGTCTTGGGTAATCACTCATTTATTTATTTATTTTTGCTTCCAATGAGTCAAAATTCTGAGGAAATCATGGTCTTGATCAAAAACGTTGTGATTTTTGGAGATTCAAAGGTTGTTTTTTTTGTTAAGCTACTTTACTCAAACCTGTGAATCATTGACATAAAAAAAAAAATCAAGAAATAAATTACTGTTCTAACTTTTCATACCAAACACTTTAGTAAATAATTAGTTTTACATGTTTAACATGAGCTAATTTTTTACTTGCAGACTGTCACAAAAACGCAACTTGTTCCCAGATTTGATTACACAGCAAATATATTTAAAACAGTAACAGGAATTTTAAATTGTTCAATCGTTTTTACTTTAAAGTACATTTAAAGATGCGTTAAAGCTGTCTTATTATGATGGGATGGTCATGTAAGTATCATTTCCTCTTTTGTCAGAAAAAAACTGTCTCTTAAATCATCTTCAGCCCCGAACGTGAGCAACGCTTGTTGTTTGAACACTGAAGCAGAGTTCATTGACGCAAACAGAATGTTTACAGGAAGACTTTTTATGTCGTTTAAAACTTTACAACTCATAATTCACTTGAGAGCGGTGCAGCTACACCTCTAAACAGTCCTGACCAGGATTATGAATCAGGCCGAGTCTGATTCTGAACTGAAAGCAGAAATTAATCTGTTGGGATTTAGAAATTTCCTTTAAAAAGACCACATTTAATAATAGAACGTGTGTGTGAATGCTTAGCAGTATTGTTATTGAAATCATCTAGGAATGATGATGACTAAAAAATTTCATTCGCCAAGCGTTTATTTTCAGCCATTCTTTCACTGAGGCAAAACAAATGTTTGGATCAACGTCAGTAAATAACGAGTAATGAGCCGGAGCTGAGGTGAGCTTTGAGAAATCCACCCTACCAAATGTGGTTAGAGTGTATTTGAGTTTCTTAAGTCCAGGCGGCTCTTTTGACTGAACTTTAAGAAACATGTTCTAATTAACAAACTTTAACATTAGATGTGTATTGTTTTATGCTCAATGTGTCTTTGTAGAGGTTGTACTTATTTATAATGTAATAAAATGTGATCACATATTGGGTAATCAAATATTCTCTTCAACAAAGTTGATTTTCAGATTGAAGAAAATTTAACAAATGAACAAAAATAAAATTACAATTAAACTGCTAGACTTTTGTTTAATAGAAGAGCTTTGTATAAAAACAAAATACTTAATAAAGTGACTGTTTATATCTTTGATGTGGGGTTCTGTGGAGACATTATAAATTATTACTGTCATAGGTTTTAAAAAAGTGTTGTGTACAACCTCAATTTGAAAAAAAAAAAAAAAAGTTGAATTCTGACTGGACTGACGAGCTAACAGCTAGTTCGACCTGTGCTAGCAACGTAAAACGTCTCCAATCTCAAAAGTTTTACAGCGGTTTGTGTAAAGAAGATTTTATAAACCTTTACATTGCTGTGAGTGTTGCATTATTCCATCAGAATTTTTTGCACCTATAAAAACCCATATTTCTTATTAAATCCATCCATCCATCCATCCATTTTCTTCCGCTTATCCGGGGTCGGGTCGCGGGGGTAGCAGCCTAAGTAGGGAGGCCCAGACTTCCCTCTCCCCAGCCACTTGGGCCAGCTCTTCCGGGGGAATCCCAAGGCGTTCCCAGGCCAGCCGAGAAACGTAGTCCCTCCAGCGTGTCCTGGGTCTTCCCCTGGGCCTCCTTCCGGTGGGACGTGTCCGGAACACCTCACCAGGGAGGCGTCCAGAAGGCATCCTAAACAGATGCCCAAGCCACCTCAACTGGCTCCTCTCGATGTGGAGAAGCAGCGGCTCTACTCCGAGTCCCTCCCGGATGATCGAGCTTCTCACCCTGTCTCTAAGGGAGAGCCCAGACACCCTGCGGAGAAAACTCATCTCGGCCGCCTGTATCCGAGATCTCATTCTTTCGGTCACAACCCAAAGCTCGTGACCATAGATGAGGGTGGGAACGTAGATCGATCGGTAAATTGAGAGCTTCGCCTTTTGACTCAGCTCTCTCTTCACCACGACAGACCTGTACAGCGCCCGCTTCACTGCAGACGCTGCACCTATCCGCCTATCGATCTCACGCTCCATTTTTCCCTCATTCGTGAACAAGACCCCAAGATACTTGAACTCCTCCACTTGGGGTAGGACCTCCTCCCTGACCCAGAGAGGGCACTCTACTCTTTTCCGGCTCAAGACCATGGCCTCGGATTTGGAGGAACTGATCTTCATCCCGGCCGCATCGCATTCGGCTGTGAACCTCTCCAGTGAAAGCTGTAGATCACGATCTGATGAAGCCAATAAGACCACATCATCTGCAAAAAGCAGAGACGCAATTCTGAGGCCACCAAAACGGATCCCCTCAACACCTTGGCTGCGCCTAGAAATTCTGTCCATAAAAGTTATGAACAGAATCGGTGACAAAGGGCAACCTTGGCGGAGTCCAACTCTCACCGGGAACAAGCCCGACTTACTGCCGGCGATGCGGACCAGGCTCTGACACCTGTCATACAGGGACCTAACAGCCCGTATCAAAGGGCCTGGTACCCCATACTCCCAGAGTACCCCCCACAGGGCCCCCCGAGGGACGCGGTCGAAAGCCTTCTCCAAGTCCACAAAGCACATGTAGACTGGTTGGGCAAACTCCCACGCACCCTCCAGGACCCTGCTGAGAGTGTAGAGCTGGTCCAGTGTTCCACGGCCAGGACGAAAACCGCACTGTTCCTCCTGAATCCGAGGTTCGACTATCCGACGGACCCTCCTCTCCAGAACCCCCGAATAGACCTTACCAGGGAGGCTTAAGAGCGTGATTCCCCTGTAGTTGGAACACACTCTACGGTCCCCCTTTTTGAATAGGGGGACCACCACCCCGGTCTGCCAATCCAGGGGAACTTCCCCCGATGTCCACGCAACATTGCAGAGTCGCGTAAGCCAACACAACCCTACAACATCCAGAGCCTTAAGGAACTCC